TGGGCAGATGAAAGGGTTGTGAACCCCTTATCTCATGTGCTAGAGAAGTGCACACACACACAGACACACACACACACAGAGACACACCAGCGAAAGAAGCTGCAGCAGCAGCGGCAGCAGCAGTAGCAGCAGTGATAAGAAGTTATTTGCTATTCTCCAAATCGATCCTCGACGTTTTCCGGATGTGCTTGCTTTTGTTTTCCTGAATTGGGGCACCCCTGTCAGAAAACCCAATACTCTCAGGCTCCGACACACCGGGCATCTGCGGCGGCTGTGGGACCGACCTGCCAGTAGTTTGCGCTGCCCGACGGCAGGCACTGTTTACAGCCAGGATCAGCCCGGTGCTACAGCAACAGCAGCCTGAGAAAGCTCTCCATCCAGCCGGCATCCGGCAGAGTCACGAGAATCCCTGACATGCTCAAAGCACACAACAGCTGTTTCAAGACCAGACACTGGGGCACCTCTGACAGTCACGTCGGGATCAAGAGCATTGGCACTGAGAGCTCCCTCGATCTGCAGCCCGGACACATCCTCACAGCTGAGCGCTTGCCGAATCTGTGCAAGAACCCGTCTGGAAGGCTTCAATGTCGGTCTGGAGCATGCCAATCCAATCCTCGATGACTTCGAGTCCACCCATGCGATGAGATTCTGTCACTGCCTGAAGCATGCACGAACTGTCGCTGGTCAGCGAACTCACAACAGCTGGACCCGAAAGCCTCAACATGGTACCAGCATGGAATACTTGCACTAGTGGGCATCAGTCTCTCTAATTCGCGCGGCATGACGTTGGCGCTTGCAACTCCTGGGCCAAGGGCAGGAAAGTCACGTGGTAACAGGCGACGAGGTGCATCATCCAAAGGGATCACCTGACACTACCAGGCTTTTGATGGTAATCCTCGCAGAGGCGACATGAACGGATCAACCATGCGGACAGCATCAAGCTAGTTGCATGGATTGGAAGGGCTCTTCAGGCATCTCGGTTTGTACAAACTCCACCACCTGAACATCACACTCCAGCAAGGGCGGCTGCTTCGCCTCGCGGTGACAGTCTTGGCACGTCCGTTTTGATGGGCTTCTGAGTGAACATCGTGCCTTGAATGTTGCCGCAAAAAGGCGGCTTAGCTCTGCCTCTGCGGCAGCAGTGCTCTTCCCTGGCCGGATTCCAGAAGCACCAGACATTCTACGAAGTCTACGAGCGAAAGATCTGGCAATTGGCCTGGAAGGTTCTTCGCCAAGTGTTCGCGAAGCTTCCCCGGTCGTAGCTCGGCCTTCAGGGGGCTGCGCGACTCGGTGGCCAAGTCGAAGCCTCGAGACTTTTTTGAATAAGGATGCAACGCATGCTGCGAGGTCCGGTCTGCACATGTCTGCACAGAGACGGAAACATGCCGAGGAGCGGAGCAACGCCCAGGCCAGTACACACTCAGGAGGCGGATCCGCATAGAGTGGCGTCGGATAGGTTCCACCAGACAGGGGCCAGGCAGACTCTGCTCTGCCCCCGGGCGAAGGTCCCAAAGGTTTGAAGGGCTGGTCTAGCTGAGTTTGTAATTGCTCGGGGTTCGCAGTCGAGGAACCATTTCCTAACTTGGCTTTGGCCTTCGCCTGGGCCTTGGGCTGCGGCTTTGCCTTTGCGACTGGTACTGCGAGCTTCCAGATCCTGGCAGCATGTTAAAGCTGCAAATGCAATCATGTGCTCCAGCATGATCACTGCATTAAAGTCGTCCTGCTTGCTGGGACTGTCGATCCAACTGCTGGCTTCTTGGGAGCATCCTTCTGCCCAACTCGAGAGGCTCTCTACCCTTGCCCACATGAATCGATGTGACGGCAAAGCCGCACAGCAAGCATTCTTTCTTCGTGAAGTGCAAATGCGGCTTTCCTCGAAGGCCAACACTTCGGCCAGAACTTGCACTTCTTTGCCTGGAACATGCAGCGCGGGAGTGCGGGCATTGCTTCCGAGCTCTCAGAACTCACTCGAGACCCCAACTGGCGACGGCAGATCTGAAAAAGAAAAGAGACGGCGGCTCTGCCTCAACAGAAGAAGTGAGCTAAGAGAAGAAATGTGGCTAGCCATACACCCGACACAGGCTCAGAAGCCGGCGATAGCGTGAACCTGGGCCAAACGAGTATTAACTTTTTGGCACAGTACGACGATTACATGCACGGGGTGCCGGCCACGACCATGCCCTCACTGGCATTGCTTGCCAAACGGCACTGGACCTCTGGTCCCATGCTGCGGTGTCTTGAATTGGCTGTTCAAACGAAAGCACATCTCAGAGCATCGCCCGCTGAACCCGCAGCCGAGCGCCCGAGAAGCTATAGCCGTAGAGTTCCGGCCTGTCAGCACACAGAAAAGTTGCAGAGATTTGGTTTCAGAGATTAAGCTCGCCTCCCGCCCAGAGGGGTGTACAGAAGTGAGAGCCGGATCTGCAGTGACAGTGCCTGCAAGGCAGACATCATGATGGGAAGTGCTTTGGTGAGTCTGCCCAACCTGCGGCATCTCTTCCTCCGCAGCACGTGCCAAGCGGGCGAGTGCCGCCCTGAGGCCAGTGTACGTACTCAGACTCTAGGTCCCTAGGCGCACACCGAATGCGCTGCACGGGGCGGGAACTTCTGCAAAGTACCGTTGGCAGCGATTGGGACCTCCACGACTCAAGGACTGATCGAAGACATGGGGAGCGGCCTCCCTGCCCGGGCCTCAATCTCCCCCACGGCGGTCATTCGCACAACCTTGGTGGGTGCAACACTTCGAGATGCTTTGAGATGCGGATGGAGGGGTCGGCCCTGGCCCTGCGGCCTTGCGTCCAGGCCACATAGAGTCTGGACTCTTCGTGGCCCATAGCTCCATGAGCCGGTGGCGTTGGACCCAAGCAACGGCGATCCTGCTTCAAAGAAAGCCAACTCTGCCATGCTTCCTCGAGGTCCACTGGTCGAAGTTCGGGTGGCCGTCGAGGAAGCGTCTGCGCTTGCCGGCTAGGTGGCGCAAGTGTGCTCAGTGGAGGAGCTGCTGGTGCTGCTGGTGGTAAAGGTGCAACCTGAGCTTGGCTGGGGTCCTGTGCTTGCCCTGGTTGTGAGGGCGGCTGCACTTGGAGTTGGGATGGTTGCGTGGCGGGTGGCGGCAAGTGCTCGGGGGCAGGCCTGGTCACCACTGGCGGCAAGCTGGGAGTCGCAGCTGGAGCTGCAGGTGCCTTGGCTCCAGCACTGGGGCCAGATGCTGGGGCGGGTGCAGGAATTGTTGGGACCGATGTGGGGGCCGGAGCAGGGGCAGGAGCTGCAGGGGCAGGAGCTGCAGGAGCAGGAGCTGCAGGGGCTGCAGGGGCTGCAGGGGCTGCAGGTGCGGGCTGAGAGCCAGGTGGCAAAGTGGAGATGGATGCTGGTGCCGGGGCTTGAAGTGTGGGTGGAGCAGGTCCAGCTGCTTTGGAGTCAGGTGCAGTTACTTGTGCATCGCCAGGAGGTGGGGGCACCGAAGGAAGTGGTGGTGGACTAGGTGCTTTTGGAGCCTTCGAGCCGAAGAAGGATCCGAACCAAGAGGAGGCTTTCTGCACAGCTTTCGCTGGAGGAGCTGGAGGGGGCGGTGGTGAGTGGTCCGTACCGTCTGGAGGGGTAGTTGGTGGTGGTTTTGGCGGTTCTTTTGGAGCTCCAACCACCTCAAACACCGCGGTTGGAGCTTGGGCTTGATTTTTCGGAATTGCGGGTGCGTTCGATCCAGGTGGTGGAGGGGCTGCTGGCGGAGGCAGTGGCGGATCGTCCGGTGCTAAAGGCGGCGCTGGGGGGGTGGGGGGAGCTGCCGGTGTTGACTTGCCGAAGAGTTTGCCAAGCATCGCAGAAAGACTGCATTGCGTCTCATTTAATGTAACCCGTAACCTAAACCGACTCGAGCAAGCCACGGTGTGCTTCAACAAGCTGTTATTGATGCCGCCACTCTTCTTGTCGACGTGTTCAAAGACTTGTTGAATGGTTAACCAGATTTTTGCGACTTGTCAGAAGGAGTGCTTAGTGGAAACCTCCATGAGCCGGCACAGCCATGTTCAACATCCGAAAGTTCCAATATGGCATTCTGGAACTGACTTCAAAACTCGGCCTGCGAGCGCAGTGCCAGCTCAGCTCGATCTATTGCATTCTGCCTCAGGACGATGGCTTCAGACATCCATGCAAACCTCAGGCACTCACTGAGCACCTGACAAGAGCTCATGCTCTCTGCTCTGACCTCTGCCTGCCGCGACCAGACACTCAACATTTTAGTGTGGCTGGTCTGCGTTTTACCACCCGAACTTGTTGCCATTGGAAAAAGACGAGCCACCATCCAGGGATGTTTGAATCTCCTGGAGGTTTCGGTGGAGGCTCAACATGATGTTGCCGACGGCCTGGGACAACATGCAACTCGGCAATGAAGCCATTGCTGTGGTGTTGCCTCCATCGCGGCGCAGGCCAGCCTGACGTGCAAGGGAACACAAGAGCTCCTGCCTTGTTTTTTCAACGATTGCACCGTTCGAGCCTGGCAGCCAGGCATGAAGCAAGCGAGGCTCAACTCCGAGCAGACCATGCAAACCAAGGAAATGACGGAACTCTGTCTCTGCTGTTCGTTGGAGCATGTTGAAGTTGCTTATGTCAGCAATTTTGCCAGTGTTTGCCCATCTCTTCGGTCACAATGTTCTGCCTGGGCCTTTGGACGGCGATTGCGGAGGATAGAAGCAGAATCTCGAGGGGGAAAGTCCGCACGGATGGAAATTTCAATTTTAACTTCAATGACCGATGACTTGGACGATGCTCCGAACGTGCGAGGAGGAGCGACGGAACGGAAATGCATAAGATGGTCGCTTGCCAACGGAATGCCATGACTGCATTGCACCGGCCCACTGAACAGCTGTTGCAGACGTGCACACATCTGCCGTCAAGTTTTGTCGGAGACGTGGCTTCACTTGTTCAGGTTGTTCGTGCTTCTCCGACGTCGCTGCACAAAAACTCTCGTTTTGGTGCTTGTGCTTCACGCGAACATGTAGCACTCGGGTCTCGGGATGCGGCCAACCACAAGGACATTCCAAACCACCCGGAAAAGTGCAAGCTGCAAGGACTCCACACGAGTCGTGTTCACGGGAAGTAAAGGGAAGTTCCGCGCGAGGCGTGTCAAAAAGGCCTTGAAACGGCGCAACCTAGGTGAAGTTCCACAGGATGCGTGTCGTGGGCGTGCGTTGCACTGCTTCTGAATTAATCTACAGTCTCCCGGTAGAATTAACGGGATAGATCTGCGTTCCGAGCATTCATACTAGAAACACGTACTGCCCAAGCACCGGAAGTCCACGGCTGGCCGCCTACACCCGACATTTCAACCATCTTCGAAGTACGAGCGCAATCTAAGTTTCAACCCCATGGCCCATCCAAGTAGACCGGTTTTCAGGGCAGTGGACTTTCCGATGATTCCTCTTCTAATCACTCGTCTGAAAGGCCCAGCCCTGCACCGCCTTCCATGTGAGTGCTCGTGTGCTGTGGCACGAAAGAAGGAACTTTTCTCTCGCTTTTCAATTTGCAATGCTAGCGAGTTGCCTTACGGGCCTGTCATGTTGAAGAACAGGACTCAGGGCAATGACCGTGCCGCCAACTTTGAAAAGTGCGAATCGCCAACGTGCCTTGTGTTGCGCTGACCTGCTGTTGTTCCATTGCTGGTTAAACGGTGAAGCGAGCCACTGCTCAGGTTTGCGGTTGGCGACCCGCCGCTGAAGGAAAGCGAGCCAGATACTGAGACTCTCCGCCAGCATGCCGCACACTGAGGTACTTGGATGTCATCTGCACCGCCAGAACGGGATCGTGTGGCGAACGGCCGTATTGATCGCCAGTGACAAATCGTCTTAAGGGGCCCTCCGGTCGTTCTTCTGGCCCTTCGCCGCCAAATGCAGTCACATGTGTTTGCGTACTTCCCTGCCTTGGCGGTTTGGGTCGTCGAAGGATCGCAGGCGCACTTCTGCAGCGTTGTTTGTAAATTGCTGGCACAGCCACTTCTCTGCGGCTTGCGCGTCCTGTGACGCCTCCTTATCCCAAGTACTCACTGTGAGTTGAATGGGTTAACTGGTTGAGTGGGTTTGCTTAAATGCGTAGCTAGGTGATTATAGTTGCCACCACAACATTTACAAGATCTAGTATCGTTTTTCAATATATAATGGTTTATTATCCAAATGATACCGGTTGTTAACCCATGCATGTAGTTATAAATTATAACATGTTACCAGGGCATGTAATGGTTTGCAACCATATGTAACCAGTTAGCTAAGTGGTTGGAGGTCAGCAAAATGCTGGATTTTACATTTTTCAGTACTGCAATCGTTGATTCCCGAAAGCATCGCGAAGGGTTCTTCCGTGCGAAACCCTTTAGAGAAATACATAGGATCAAGCACACAGAGTACTATGCAGGCAGAGTC